ATATAAGATATGAAAAAAATGTTGTTCTGTACAGAAAGGGAACTGAGACAGAGAGGAGGCTGAGCTTGCCAAGATCAGGCAAAGCTTGTAGTAGAAAAAGAATTTGAACCCAAGTCTTCCAAGTGCTAGACTATCACCCCAACTAAGCTACAGTAAACCTTAAACTGCCACTAAAACAGGAAATTGGGGATTAAAATGCAAATAAGGAAATCCTAAATCATGAAACAACAGCTGTGAACTTAAAAGCAGATATAATGTGCGTTTGTATGCAGTCCATGAATGTATATATACAGATGTCTTTCAAAACATCCATAGCATATGCAAATATTAAAGATCAATTTGATAAAATCTTAAATGTAAACTCTTTTGAATTTGCAAACAGACTACTTTTTTATGTCCTAATTTTCCTGCGTGATTCTTAACCACTTGTCAAACAAGCTCTCCTAAACCTGAGTTTCAAAATATCTGTGCAGCTACTGAACCGCATGTAGTCTGCTTGTTAACAAGAAATTAAGCTGGAAGTTAAGTGACTGCTAATTAAACTCATAATTACAAATGGAAGGTCAGACAGTAAATCCAAGAGCTGTGTGAAAATGTAATAAAACAAAAGAAAGAACAAACTCATATATAATAATTCAGCCCTTACTTGGCAGATTGACTCATTAGAAGACTTCTCAGCTGCATACAGTTCTGAAGGCAAATATTAGAATAATAAATGCAAATCATTTGGGTTTAATCAAGTTTATCAAGGATTAGCACCGGCTCTAAACATTACCTAGATTTCTATTTAAAAACAAAAATCAAAAATGGCTCCTTTACAAAATTAGAACATGAAACGTGGCTTCCTAGGTCGAGCCCCAAAGTAGACACCAGCACACTCACAAAACATGCTTTCTCTTTTGGAACCAGTTAACATCTTGCTCCTCTGCCCACATGACATTGGGAAATCTGCTTGATGGTTCACTGCCCTGCCTGTGAATCTCCATGAATGCAGAAATCTTGAGATAACTACATTGCCTTTGTCCTCTTACTGTGAGATTGAGAAAGAGAGAAGATGAGAAGAACACAACAGGTAATTTGGACAGAGGGCTCAGAGAAACAGGATTAAAAGAGCAAAGGGGTGCAGAAGTACCAGCTGCTAGCAACTAGAAAAAGAAGGACAGCTGAGGAAGGTTCACACTATTTCTGTTATCCTAGACCTCCTGAAGGGCCAGAAGTTTTGATGTGAGTCTCAAACTCCACGTTCTGACCCTTCCCACCACCCCTGTCACACCGAGACAAATGGTGGGCACACGGGACATAGGAGGAGAAAGGCAGCACACACAGACACGCCAGACCAGAAAACCAGTGCCTCACCCCATTATCACACCTGTGATGGAGCAATTGAGGATTTGGGAAAATCCAAGGAGAAGGATTTGTGTTCTTTCCAAGATAGGTACATTTCTTGCACGGGATCTGGGCACCTACCTGGACAGCACAGCACTTGGGAACCTGTTTGGGATTTAGAAAGTCTCTCACGAAATACAGAAACACAGGCAGCATACCAAAGCTGCTTTCTGCTGTGCCTCTTACTCTGGGTATTTCACCTTTCTGTGAGCCACAGGCAGTCCCTGAAACTCACAGCAGGGTAGAAAAGCCTTATGAAATTTGGCAATAGCAGATTTAAAAAAAAAAAAAATTATTCCCTCATCAGCAGACTTTCAGCTGATGTGCTAATTCTAAAAATCTGCCTTCCAACAGTTCAACTTTGCTTCAGCGAATGTCTCACCAAGCCCCTTTTAATAAATATAATTTATGATTTCTATGACACACTTGTTTTGCAGTGAAATTGTGGAGATAATGATAACTAGATTGATTGACACCTGGTTGTTCAATCAAACACACTCTTATTCCACTAGTCACAGATCACACATGCCAAATTTGATGCTGAAACAACTTTTATTAAGCATTTTGGAAGGGGCCTGAGGAGAAAATCAGTCTTGTAATGAAAATCTCTACTATGTTGCAGCTTCTGCAGCACCATAATACCGTTTTCTCTCCTGCTGGCAGTTTAGCAGCAGCAGTACTGAACACCAGAGGACTTCCCTATGGAGGGAGAGATAACAGCACACATTTACTGAGAGGATTGGGGGTTGGTTTCTTAACAATGGAAGTATACACAGACGGATTTCATACTTCTCAGCTGGTGAGCAAATTTTCAGCTACAAATCATTCTGCCTCTTTGGGTGGGAAAAATGGATTTCACATAAGTATTCCTTTCTGGGTCCATGAAAGATACAATGTGGGCAAGCTGAGTGGTAGATTTAGAAAGGCAAAAATAGCCACTCCATATCATACAATGCTGAAGCCAAGTAGTACTGGGAGCTGAGACACCAGGCCATGATGCATTCATATAAGGCAGTAATTACTTTCTCAGGAAAACTATTTGTTTGAAAACTGACACAACATTTCATAAGATATTTCTCCTAAAGGTCAGGGAAATGAAAATATCTTCATCATAGCTTAGAAATGGATGAAGGCTGAACAGAGTTTCTGGAGAACTTATTTCTTTACCCCATCTCTTCTCTCCTAAATCACTAGCAGTTTTTGATGAGAGAGGTTGGTCCAGATCTCTCTTTCTGCGCGCCCCCCCCGCCCCCCATATCCATAGGCAAGCCAAAACAAGCAAGTCCCTTAACTGTCTTAGTTATGCCAAGCAGTGACTAAATCAAAGAGCTTTCTGACAGCTACCATTTCAGATTACCTTAGGAATTATTTGGGTGCTTAAGCAAAAACATCCAGGGCACTTTAGACACCCCGGGAGAGACCCCTGCCCCTATAGCCAAGTAGCTGGAGTGCAGGTAGTAAACCTTATGGTAACTTAAAATTACTTTGGACATTTATGTTTTGGCACTTGAATTATTCTGCTGGTATTTGCAGATCACAGTAGAGGGCTTTCTTCCTTCTGTATGCTTACCTTATACAAGGGGTTGTGATATCAGGAATCTGGAAAGTAGCAGCTACTGTTAGGTATAGAAAGGCATTCTAACATCTCTAAGAGTAAAAGGGTGTTCTGGGCTCTAATGTCCCAAAACAACACTGAGCACCTCCTTTTTGCAGTAACTTATCTTCTCCTCAAGATTCTCATCAATGTCCTTTCACTTTAATAAGAAGGGGAATCAAAATCCCTTATAAACGTTGCAATAGCACATCCTCAAAGGCATCCTCCGATACTACATAATTCTGTTCTTAAATCAGTGTCTTTTTTGCAGATTCCTCACTGCACTTCACCCCAAGTTTTGTCCTCCTCTGCATTTTGCTGAGTTTTAGGAGGTGCTTAGTAGACTGCATGAACAAATTCTTCTGTCATGAAGGAACTAGAACTCCCAGAAATTTTTGAGAAGTTCATTATTAATGCATTCTGGGTAACTATTTCTGTCTTGGGTTTCAAGAGCAGTTTACTCATCGAGCTTAACATTAGTCTCATCACAGCCAGGCTTCCCAGATACTCTGTGGTAGTTTTATTCTATTTAGCTTCTCATGTTCTTTCCAGAAATTACTTGCAGTTCTTATTTCTGTTACTGTTAAACCCCACTTATTTTGCCAAAACTAACAGAAAATTAATTTAAAAACAAAGGTTGTTGCGGCTTTGGGGTGGTTTTATTGTTGTTTCAACACTATATCCATATAAAGCATTACATTAACTGCAAAGCATGCAACAGCAAGTTAAAAATTGTAAATACGGCTAAAGTCACATTTATGAGAATTGTTTTTATTTATGTCCTTCTGTGTAGATACCACAGAGAAGGCAAAAGAAACTTTTTTAAGTGCCAGCCTCACCTAAGTGCCAATACCTCTGTTTCAGGAGCAGAGCACAAACATTATAGTTCCAGTTTTCCCAGTGCAACCCCAAATGAGACCAACAGAGTAACTGTGTCACACTCTAGCACTTAACAACCTTAGATCAACATTTTCTAGAAGGAGAGCCTGTGTCACACTGCCTGTCCTCTGGGCAGCTCTCCACTCCATCACTATCAGATCAAACATGAGATATCAGTCTCTAATCCTGTTAGCACAGACTGTGGAAGATCAATGGCACTCCCAGTACTCCATGCCAGTGTGAAGGTGGAAATTTTATCCGTGTTTTGAGAGAAAAAATGAAAATGTTCTTTAGCCTTTAAATTTTCTGAAGAAAAGCAAATTACATACACACATACAACTTGCCACCAAACAACCAACAGCTCTCTGGAGCTGCTCGGAGGCCTGGTTTAATGAAAATATTCTCATTGAGTATGGATCAGTAGGAAAATGACAGGGGAAAGAAGTGAGAGGTGCAAGATAAATTTGGTTTGCTACAGAAGTTATAATTTGTCATCACAATATTGTCCACACAACTGTAGAGAATTATATATAAATTTATTAAAACAACTGCTATATTATATCTATTATCCTGGATTCATGTTTGGTTATCTTTTCCTCCTTGAGAATAAGCTTTTTCTGCAAATAATGCCACTGAATCTGGCCACTTATATTTTGGGCATTTATATTTTAAAAGACTGCCTATATTACCTTATATGCAATTAACAGTATAAACAACAGCATATATCAACATATTGAGAACATAAAATTACACATTGAAGGTAAGAAGTGAAATGTTATATAGTTCCCTAGAGGTGGAAGTTCCCTCTGATGTTCAACAATGAAATAAACACAGCTGAAGCAGTGAGAGCTCTAGTTAAGCAATATATATATATACATATAAACATGAAAGACCTCTCTTCTGGAAAAATACACAATTAAAGTGCCATTGTCCCCTCCATGCACCTATCAAAACTGCTTAGGAATTGTTGGAGTGAAGGTGAAGGGGAGGGAGAAGAGAAAATCAGCCACTGCAAATAAGCAGAGTATTTTAAGAGTATTTTATTAGAGTTATCTCCTTCTTGCAAGAATGAGTGTTCAAATGGATAATACCTTTCTGTGAAATCCAGGTTTCCAGCTTTATGTTAAGAAGACGCCCTTACCTTATGGGATTATCCATCCTTGATACTGTGAGAAATGCTGCTAAATTTGCTGTGTAGGAAGAGCACACGATAAGGGTGAAGAGCCACCAGCTTCCCATTACAATGCGCATAGCCACAGAATTGACAGTAGTTTCGCCCCCTACAAATAAACAGAGAAAATGAAGGTCTCTCAGCAGCTTCCACTTACAATCACTTTCTATGTGCCCTGTTACACTAAACTTTGTTGGAGCTACCCCACTGCATTTCTGCTTCCCTTCCAGACCACCCTTTCACTGTGGGAAAAACACTGCTTCCATTAAGACTGATAATTTAAAAACATTTTCTCCAGTCAATCTCTTGCCCTGGATGCTGTTCTAGAAAATCCTCTTTCAAAATATTTCCCTTGGGAATTATTGAGGATAAAATTTACAGTACATGAAAAATATTCTACATAAATGAAGTTTAGTAGTGAAGCACAATTAATATGCAGGAATTAAATCATTACACTGTTCAGAATACACTAATATTCTGTTTTCAATGACCACTTTAGATCTGGAAAAAACCCACAAAACTATCCAATGGTTTATGTGCTATCTGTGCTATATTTACATCTGCAAAGACTGAAACATTAGTGTAATTACTTATTACTCTTTACAACATTTCAAACAATGTGAAGATTTCCTTCTAGCAGGCTTGAAGCACAGTTATGTTTGAATGTTGTTGGAGACCGAATCTTACCATACAGCTGGTGCAAGTCACTTCAGCGTATGGTTGTGCTGATTGTATCTTACTGTACTTAAACCCATAAGGGTTGCCACCTTAATGAGATGGGGGACCGAGTTTCATAGCAATAGTAAGGATTTTCCAGCTGAAGCTTTATAAGCTTGCAATTACAATGAAAAAAAATGTAGAAAAAAGTTAAAATCATACCCATAAGTTAGGATTCAACAAAACCTGTGTGGGACAAAAACTGTGTGGGCAGATTTTGCTAACAGTTGTTTACAAAAGTAACTGTTAATGGTAGCAATCCTACTGAATTCAATGGGATTAGTCCTATGCCTAGAGACTCCTGAATGTAAAGTTAGTTACATGACTACAAATCATTTTCCTGTTCAGTTCAAAGAACCGAAAGATAAACTGTCTCACCTCAGTTCAAAAACATATAAATTTCTAAAAATAAATTTAAACAATTAGACAGGGTGCTAGTTTCAGAGTTGGAGAAGTGTTCTAATTCCACACCAATCAGCTCTGTAGTTTATTTATTGTGTGATAATTTTCCCAATGTGGTAAAGCTTGCTAGGAGTACTTTTTCTGTACTTACTGAGAGACAGAAAAGCAGAACATAACCCCCTACAACTAACCTACCTCTTCCCTTTGTTTATCAGCTGGGCTGATAAAACGTATTACCTCTTCGTACAAGCCTTCTCTTTCATCTTTAGACTGTTCTGGCCAAAGCTAACATATCCCAGCCTGCTTTACCCAAGGCAGAACATTTCTGAACGTCCATCAGTGGTGTTTAGAAGAGTAAGTACCTTGTTGAACAAAGGCACCGTACACGACCCAGATGGCACTGTGGAGGGTGGAGGAAGCAGAGGGGCTCGGCTGGGAAGCGTTCTGTGCCCTGACTGCCTGGATCCGGTTCAGGACAAATATCAAGACACCAACTATAGGGATGGCTGCAGCAATGCAAGCCCACACCGCAAAATCAAAAGGAGCAAAGAGAGAGAAGATGTTGATTTTCTCTTCAGGCTTTTTGATTAAGATCCCCACGGAATAGTCCATGTATCGCTTGCTGAAGTCCACAACACTTTCTCGTTCCGGTGTTATAGTGATGGCTGAGATGGCTAGGTCTGCTCTCTGCAAGACAAATGCAACAGATCAGATCTCTTCCTTTCACCAAGAATTTAGCCAGCATGAGCCTTAAGGAGAAACTTTTCAAGAACTAAGCAATTCCATGCCTTTTTTTCTATAACTTAGCACATTTAGACATATTTAAATAAATTGCCTAAAAATAAAACCAGAATCAGTTTCATCATTTGAACATTGGTTAATTGCATTGGTCTAAAGCAGAGTAGTGAAACATAACCTGTCAGCGTACCCTAGAATCAAAAGTGTCACCCTGACTCCTCTCTGGAATAAGTGCAGCTTATTTAACCTTTATCCCTCACTTGTTTTCCAAAAGATGCCTAAAACTCCAAACCATATTAACTTGATGCACTGCACACAATCAGAAGCAAACATGATTTATTTAGCTTGTGTATTTGATAGCAAGGTGCGAAGAGTTAATGTTTGTTGTTCTACCTGCAGAGTTGCCAACTTCTCATAGTCATAAAGGGATTTTATATGACAACTGTGGGAAAGATTTTGCTTGTTTTTTACACAGAATAAAGTGATTGCAAAAACTAGTAACTGGAAGAATGCACCAAAGGCAACTTAGCTCCTGAAACCACTTTGACTTCAACATTTAAAGTGAGTAGGTTTTACACGTCGAGGGTCCTTAGAGTATGCAAACTCAATGAAAGATAAAACAAGGGTTAATAAATAAGATTATCAAAGCTTTTGCATAGCTGCAATTAGATTTTGAATATTTTTCCACCTCAATAAAAACATTTCTCTTAAAAAATTACAATGTATCTTTTGTTTCCTATCTCTACATCTTGCTGTGAAAGTAAAGCAAATGTTAAGTGAGGGAGGTCATCTTTGAAATCCTTTGGAGTCAGTGGAAAAGCTAGTAGCTGAACTACTATTAAAACAGATACTTTATATACCATTAACAGATACTTATTGTTTCAAGGAAAGCAATTCCCAAAGAAATTTGACAAGATTTCTTATTACATTTTCAAATCAGTGAAATTCAAACAGCTTATGTCAAAGCAAAATAAGTTAAAAATTCTTTATATTTCCTAGCACCAATCAAGAACGTTCCATTACCAAACATATGCTTGCTATTGCTTTAATTGCTTCTATTTCTTCCTAAGCATCTACTTACCAGATACTGAGTGGCCTACTTACTAGATAATGAGAAAGCTTTCACTTTCAGTAATAACTCACTGCAGAAGAGCAACCTTTTCTACAAAGGGCAGCAACATGGAATATTAATTCCTTTGATTCTCTTTCTTGATTAACATTTGTCCCATATCACATAGTGAGAACATTAACAAAATACATTCTAATTTCTTTCTCTGGGAGATTCTAAGCTACAAACTTTCCCCATTTACTTCAATGGAGTTTAATTAACTTACTCCTGATGTGCAAGACTGTAATTAAGAAAATAAATTTGGTCCTCTCTGTTTTAAATGAATGAATAATCTTGAGATTATTTTGGACTCCGATCCTTCAAAACACTTATTTGTGATATATTACTAGGGACACTTTTCCTGTTTTAGAGTCAAACACTTGATCATTATCAAAAACATTGCTACAAAGTGACCCAACTAAAGTCACACCTACAAACAAGTGGAAAAGACATAATGACAAAATTAAAATAATAATAATAATAATTCATATTTTAAGAAGAATATAAGATTTTTTCCTCTATTTTCTATAGTCATTCACTCACACACACATACACGTTCTCTCTTCTTATTCCTACAGCTATGTAAACACACAGATTTAAACTGATATAATTTATGTTGAGAACATATGTTGGAGTAAATAGAACAGACTCTCTAGTTCCTATTCTGTGTACAGGGTCTCAGGGTCTTAAATTGCACAGTTTATATCACACTCAAACCACCCATAAATCAGAAGCATTCTGTACTGGTGTTTTCATCCTAATTCATTCTCTTGTAATTTAGAATGGAGGAAGGGGAGGATTTAAACAACCTCCTTACAAAGAGTCATCTTTTTTCTTTTTCTTTTTCTTTTTCTTTTTCTTTTTCTTTTTCTTTTTCTTTTTCTTTTTCTTTTTCTTTTTCTTTTTCTTTTTCTTTTTCTTTTTCTTTTTCTTTTTCTTAAAAAAAAACCAAAAGGTTGCTTCTTCTCTGTGTACCTTGTTAATGAGTTCTCCAATCATGCCATTCCAGGAGCTGTTTTGGAGCTGATGTCCATATTTTCCATCAGGAGCTTGATATATCTCATATTTGAAGCCCAGATTCTTGGCAAGTGCATCCAGGACATCAATGGAAAATCCTTTATACCGTTTTGGTTGCCCAAGTATGTTCTCCGCCACCATCACAAAAGGTTCTTCCTGAGAACAAAACAATATCTTAACTGATATTTGAAACAAGTTTTTTATTTTGTTTCTCTAACAAAAGGATGTTTCCTGAGTTAATTCTGGAAAACTTGGCACAGAGTTTCAGACACTCATAACCTTCTGAGGCAAAAACTGTAAGCCACTATGAGGCATCCCATCCAGACACCACTGCCTCAGCACCTAAGTCCTGCACATGGCTTTGGGTTTTCCACAGTTTTTGAGAAGAGGCAGAGACTGCAGAAGACAATTCAACCCCCTCTAACAGTTTCCTGGTGCCCATAGGATGAATTGCTCTCTGAAGTACCTGCCTCTTCTTACTGACTACAAAGAGGGCACAGACACCTACCTTAGTGTCCTAACTAGCTGCCTAGAATATAGATATTAACTTAAGCACTTGAGTCCTAGGTAGGAACATTACTACTGTCCAACTATCTCAGACCAGATCAGAGTTAGAAAAACAGCTTCTACAGACAATTATTAATCTTTTGTCCAGGAGACATACTGAAACAAGAGCTAAAAACACTGCATTTTGTGAATGTCAAAAATGTTGAAAATTCAAATAATAACCTTCACGGGTACTGATTTTTGGAGTATATTAAATTAAATGCCTTTTGAGACCAAGGAAATGCAGCATTTTGTGGCATGTTTTCTGTCAGGCATGGGCATCCCACTCTCCTGTGGGGGAACACCAGGGCTGCCAGTGGCACAGCCACTGCAGTTTGTCACCTCTTCAACCTGGTATTGACATTCTTGTGGAAGGGATTTGTTCACCTTGCACATAAGCTACAGCATAACCTTACCTGTCATCAGATTGAGGAACAAAAACTGCGGGCTTGGGGGAGTGCCTTAATGATCTTATGCAGTACTTCCTATTTGTACCATGATTCAGAAAAAGAGAAATAAAAACCACAAAAAGACACCACATTCTGCAGTCTGCAAACTAAAATATTTCAAGCAGGAATTAGGAAGGCATTCAAGCCCTAATTTTCCCCTAATTTAGCACTTAGCTGACAGGAGGAGCTCTGCTACCACTCTGGATTCTGACAGAAGTCCCAAAAACATAATGATTTTTTGGAAAGACTATGCCTTTCTAAAAGTTATAGTTTAGCTCAATGGGAATTTATGAGCTTGATGGAGGAAACACTTTATTAAATTTTACAGCCTGCAGTGTACAAGAGCCAAGATTAGATTATCACAATTGGCCCATCCTGTCTTAAAATCCATGAAATGATGGAAACTGCATATCTGAGTTAGAGTACAGTACCTGGAATGCACTCCTGAACACTCAAGCCCTGTGTTGGTTCCATGCCCAGTAGGAATTACAAAGCAGAAAAAATAGCATAAGCAAACAAACAAATGCTCTGTATCTCTGACAGTGCTCAGCTTCATGTAAAATAATAAAAGACTATAATCTATTTTACTTACTTATATAACTGATCATCCAAAAATCAAGAACTGAAAATGATAGGAAAAATACTGAGGGAAGTGCCCAAAATACTCAGTGAGATCCTTTTTATTTTGAGCATTTTGTTTCCTGAATTCAAATGGGATCATACCAAGACAGTCACCACTTTGAGTGTCAGTCCTTGTAAGTCGTTGCCCAGACGTCGTTCTTGTAGGCTACCATTCAGTCCTTTCTCAGAGTCCCACGTTGCCAACTAGAACAGAAAGTATAGGGAGTCTGAAGGGCTGTTAGGCAGAAATCTTTCATTATTTACATAAACATTTCAGAGCATCTTGACCAAATAAAGAACTGATATAAAGAAGATAAGAGATATGTGGCTTTTTAAAATGCAGAATCAGGACTGGTGAGATTCAGAGGACAGACGTAAACAACTACCTTGCCTGAATGTATTTTCATAAATGCCTGTAACATAACTGCTCTATTACCTGTAGTATTAGTTATATTATTTCTCGTAGATCACTCTGATATGACATTTCATTCCAGTAAGTTTATATTGCCTGACAGTCTTCAGGATTATCTGTGGTCTCATTATCCCATATTTCCCTCTCTGCTCAGATCCCCTCCTACTTTTCAAATAATTCCATATTGCTTATCAAAGACTGACTTTATTTTCTGCTGCACAATATTGCTGCTCACTGATAGTCATAAATTCTTGACACAGATCCTATGGTGTCAAAATGCCTCCTCTTCTCTCTCAGATTTTCTTCAGATCCTAAGTTCTGTTTTCTCTGTTCTTGTTCTGCTTCTACCTCATCTGTAAAACAATGACAGTCTCTCAAGTTCCCAGGCTCATGATGATTAAATACATCATATCTACCAGTACTTCATGCACATGCTAGATGTACTTGTTTTCAGGATATCTCACTGGAACATTACATCTAAATATTTTCTTTTCAATTAAATGTATCACTTTAAAAATATTTTTAATACATTTTCTAAAGAGAAATGCAGTAAAATTCAGTAGAACACGTTCAATATAAAAGTCAATATTAAGTGACCTTTGGATTATTCAAACTAAATGTGCTCTTCAGTAGCAGCCGTCAGACACTCCTGTTGCCTTCAAATGGAATAGTGTCAGTTTGTTCAGAAGAGTCATAAATAATATCAAGTAGAAACTGTTTTCATCTTATTTTATCATCTCAACTTTTAAAATCACTGATACTATGCTCACATATGTGGAAGCAGTGTTGTTAGCTGAAGGCATGACCTGTAGAAATTAAACATAGTCCAGGATCTCTGAAATGTGGCTTCTTCCTGCCAAAAGCAAATTTTCGTATAACAAGTCAAAATATTCTTGGAAAGAATTTATTTCACTGAAAATGCCTAGGGCTAGGTGTCTTACATGATTTATTTCTATTACTTCCGTTTTATCCTAAAGCCTCAAAATCACACCAAGAAATAAAATGTAATGGGAGAGGTCTGTATAGTTTTATTTTTGTTTTGTTCCACTAAACTAATGAACATGGAGCTAGAAGAGAACAGGACATTCATTAAATATGCAGCCATCATAAATATCACAACTGATGAAAATTATTCTACAGTCACTAAATCTTCAAAGCTGAGACACAGGAGAGGAAAGAATTAAGCTGCACTTCCAGCTGACCTGTAGTATGGAGAACGACTGGATAATATTCAGCTTATGAAAGCTAAATATAGTAGATTGAAAACTCTCCCCCTGCAATGCCAGTCTGAAGTGACAAATTACCTTCTGCATATAAAATTGTCTGCAGCAGTACAGGTACATACCTATAGCTATGGTATCTTTTAAATTCTAACTTAGATGCTTGCTCTGAAATACATACAGATGTTTCTTAGCTTTTGTTATTGCCAAAAAAAAATTGACCATTTTGTCAACTGACATAAATCAATATGGTTCAACAGACTTCAAAGATCAGTATAGCGGCATGTGGTATATACTGTGTCTCAAATCTGTAAAGAAAGTTTACTGTCTAAGCCTTCGACAGCTGTCCTATGCAGTAAGTATATGGCAAAGATACTTGGAAGGTTTTGGTCAAACCGGCTTACAGCATTTGTAGATGATGATTAAATATTTATTTACAAAATGGGAAATGTAACATATTCTTTTATTACTTCACCACTGGTGGACTGACATTTCAATTCCTTCTCCCACTACTTTTCCCTTCAAAAACTCTATCTGATTTCACTTCAAGGCCTTAGACTTTTCAAATGCCCTACGTTTTCCATTCTGCATTAACACTAAGAATTCCTAAAAGGAGTGGGAAACATGCCAGTACAATAACATCAATTTATTCATCTTATTCAAAAAGAAAGAGACAAAGATTCCTCTTTTACACAGTAGAGGTAGGTGCAAGGAGGAGGGGCAAGTTTCACTTCCACACAGAACTCCATAGTGTTCTCTATCGAGGCACAAACTTTTCAGACTCTAAAAAGCAGACTATGCAGATCAAGTTGTTAAATGGAACATAAGGAAAACCTTTTCCAGAGGGATTTTTCCTGTGAATTCTTGTTCTTCAGAACATTTCATTTGCTCAGAAGTGTGCCAATTTTAACTTCCGCTTCTTGCAGATATAATTTTTTTTATAGGACCTATGTATTTACAGATACATCTACCAATTTGTGACAGCTGAACTGTCAAGATCAGTGCCTGAGAAACTAATTACCAGCACTGTTAAACACAATGAGTACTGCTACTATTTTATAAGGCTGTTAAGAGTTTCATTCATCATAGAAATATGTACCATGTTCCTACCAGAAGCCTAAAGCCGAAAGTTATAGCATAGCCATCAGCTGATAGGAGATGAAGGGCTTTTAGATCTGATTATGACAAACATAATCAGATCTAAAAATAATCAGGGAGTTCAAGTTTTGAAAACCACTACTTTATTAAAGCTTTTCAACTTAATACTTCTTCCTAGCTTCTCTTTCTGAACCAGTCATCTTGCTGGGAATCCTGTAGTTATAGCCATACATCATAAAGTCAATCATCTAATAAAGACAAACTAGAGAAAACAACTGTGAAATTCAGACAAAAAGATAATTTGTTGGAAAATTCTGACTCAATCCATGCTTCTGACCTTTATCAATATTTACTGCATTTTCCAGAAGAACTGAAAGGAAAAGCTTGTAGAGAGAAAGCCACAATTTTAACATTGTTTTCAACCTCCACAAGCAATGCATAGCTGCAAACACACATACTCAACACAAGTAAAACAATTACATGGCTAGACAACCTGTGAATGTCAAATGATAAAGAATGTCATCCAAAGTATGCCACATGAACCTGTTGTTCAGGATTTTGCCCTGAAAGGTGTTCATATCTGTCAGAACATCCAAAGAAAATTGGATGTCAATGTAACTTTGGGGTTCCTGAGTTTCCGTTGATAAATTATAAGCCAAATTCTACAAAGGAGTTTCATGACTTTGTTAATGATGTTGATGCTGGCTGCCCAATGCTTATTTGAGTGACATGTTCCCCAGGGAAAATCATATTGAGATGTCATAGTAAACTTACACCAGAGAATATCAGAAAAAGCTCCACAGAAGTGTGAAGACACTTATCAGCACAATGAGGCAGACAATCCTGCTCAAATAAATCAATGCTGTATACATTGAACCCCTATTTGTAAGATTTACTACCTCCCATAAACTTGAACAATTAGATTGAGAGCCTGTGTGCCATTTCCTTTAGGAGATGAAGTTGATGATAAACTCAGTTATTTGTTACACATCTGTTTGTCTGCAAGGTCTGCATGTTCATTCTACTCTGTTACACAATCGTTACTTATTATTTGAATCAGGAACTTTAATTTAGTTTTCCTAACTCTGCTGTGAACACTCACACCACTGGCCTATGGCAAATGTCTGTCTCTGGTCCAAGCAAATGGAGATGAAAATTATCCCAAACTACTAGTAAATACAGTTGAAAACTGATATTAGCATAAAAAATGAATATTTAATGTTTATATCACAACAGTGAATAAGTTAATCTACATTATTACAGTTTATGATGCAGTATTTCTTGTCCAAATAATGCATATCACTACTGTCTAACATCATTTTAAGCACGACACCATCCTAAACATGATCTACTTTTCAGGGAATGTGTCATTCCTGTAAGAAATACAAGATCATTTTCAGCAGATGTATAGTAATGTTTGAAAGGGCAACAATCAATCCAGCACATGCATCTTCTATTTTACCAAAATCTGAAAACTTTTGTCCAATGAATCATTTGGAGCTAAGGTTAACACTATCCAAACAAATTAAATTTGAGAATCTTTGCCTTGAAATCTGAAGAACTTCTAACAGACAAGAAATTAAAGACAGTTTGAGACACGCACTTCTCATGCCATAAGACAGGGACACCTGTATCAACCCAGAGCACATTTTCTGTGACTATGAAGCCTGTTTTGTCCATGGAGTTAGATACATTAATCCATGCCACTCACAATCTGATAATGCTTTTAGATTAAAGTTGAGCTTTAATGACAACTTGCTTCTTAAACTTGAAGTCAACATAGTGTATATTAAATATGATGTACATATATTTTGCATGTTGGAGCCTCTGACTTCCATTATCAGTCCTGCAATATGGTTAAAAAGTTGCTGAAACTTTTAACGTTATAAAAGCAGATTTTAAGTAAACATGATAATAAAAAAAACCCTCAAACCAAACAAAATGTAAACAAGAAAATGAATATTTACAAGAGATAAATATGAAATAAGGCAGTGACCCATTAAATAAATGGATCAAATTGGACACCCCTGTCTTATACTAAAAGGAACTCCATTTCAATAGTAAGTAAAGGAAATGTTTACATTTAAGCCCAGGATTCTTTTTTAAATGTAGTAGAGTAATCTAGGGAATTTGCTGTCATTCAGTGTCATTCACAGCATGGTATTAGTAGGATTTACACATTGGATTATGTGTCATTCTTAAGGAACTGACAGGATTCTCTGGTACATTATTTCCCTTTTCCTGACTAGAGTTGCCTTGAAGGTACTAAATTTTTTTCATTTGAAACAGTGGATCAAGAACAATTTAAGAACAATTTTAAAAGCATTTTGGACTGTATAATTCGTAGTTACATAAAACAGGATTAGGAAAATGTAAAGGTATCAACACTCATACTTGCCAGCAAATCCAAACACCTATTCAATTTATTTCTATACCAGCTACATAATTATTAGGAACATTATAACATTTCTTCT